ATAGAAAGAACACTTATACTCAGAATCGGAAAGAGACAGCTGAAGTCTCTTGGACACATAAATAGAAATAAGGGCTTGGAGAACTTGACCCTCACATAACATATTGAAAGCAAGAGAGATAGGGGAAAGCAGCAGGCCACCTACCTGACAAGCTTGTATGAATGGATGGCGGAATGGTAGGAGAGGTTTGGCAAAACAAAAAATACTGCTAAAATTTACAAGGGATAGGAAACTCTGGAGAACTATGATCACCTATGTCTTAAAGGGACCTGGCACATAGAAAAAAGAATCTTTCTTTGTTGAGTCTAGAATTTTTTATCATCCTCTTACTAAATCAATGAGACATAATATGAAAATCCAGTGCGAAAGGGAGTTAATTTCTTCGACTAAAGATCGAAAAGTTAATGTGTTTCATTCATGCAGGCTTTTGATTCATTTAATGTATGAATAATTAATAAATTGAGATAAAAGTCCTGCATCGACGTTGATTGAAGAATCTCTTGAAAACTATAAAACATACTAATAAGAAAATGGAAAGGGGGATAATGATTTTGTGGGATGTTACAAGAAAAATAAAAATGAAAAAAGAAAAATGTTTAAAATATCTAACACTAAAAAATTACAAAGCATTAGATTCTAGTTTTTAGATTTTTTAAATAATTTTCTAATTTAAAAGTTTCACCTTAAGAATATTTCAAATTAAAAGTTTTCAAGATGCAAGTCTATAGAATTAATTTTTTTTTTTTTTTTTTTTTAAAGATCTAACCATAAGTTCTATGCTCACAGTTTTTATCACACTTCTCACTTGTGGAACTTTCTTCCGGCTCTATGCTTTCCAGTTAAAAAAAAACTTCAGAAATTTAAATGCAATGTCAATCGCTATCTATTGTCCTCCTGATTACTCTTTTTTGTTCTTTCTCCTTAGTAATGTTTCTGTGTTCTAACTTTCCACGTCCACTTGTATCTTATTGACTTCACTGCCTTGCTTAGGGTGGAAAAAATTCAAATATTTTTAGACATATAAGATATATATATATATAGAGAGAGAGAGAGAAAACTAAACACAACATGAATGATAGTATAAGGAACAAATAGGAAACATCTATAAATTTAACGTTTAAAGAAAATAATGTTCTGGCATTTTTTACTTTTGCATTGTTTGTTTTTCATTGCATATTGTTTGTTTTTCATGCATATTTAGCTTCTCGGGTAGAGTTTGTGTGTATAATTAATGTGTGTGTATCATAATTCTAATTGGTTTATGTGGGATTTGGTTGATAATGTGTATGAGTGTGTGTATGTTTGAGCATCTAGTGGGCATTTTTATTTATGTCTGTGTTGTGGTGTATTTTCACAGTGGAGGCTTGTATTTCTAATAAGTCGTCCTAAATTAAGTCCGACGTACAAAACGTTAGGAATTTGGAAAATAAGAGTCAATGGCGCAGCAATCTAGTTGTGATGGTTGGTACTTCAAATGTCCGAATCTCAACTGACGTGCTCAACACCATTCTGCAGACTTGCCACTGCTACTCCTACTTATTATCTATGGGAGAGTCCATTACAATAGAATAGGTACTATGGCATAACAGTCTAGTAGTGTCTCTGTGTTGATTAGGGGATATCATGTGTGAAGGTGACAGAATTTAGATTACATAGATCAGTCTACCTAGAGCCACAACAGGTGTAACCAAATTTCTTTCACTCTCACACAAAAGATCCCCCAATCAGAAAGTGTAAATTTGATAAAAGTTGGTGATATAATAATGTGTTTGGTATGTGTTTATTGATGGGAGAATATTTATCATTATTCCTTCTAAGAATTTTCTACATAATAAATTTTTCTGTTTGTTTCTTATTAGGGCGGCATTTATTAAATTGAAGTTATCACTTATAAAATAAGTGTTGATAAACATTTTATAAACTCTTTATAAATCTTTCTGATTTATTCCTTATACTAACAATCTGTCAGATTCTAATCCATATTAGATTTATATTGATCCCAATTCATGACATGAATGTTACAAAAATAAAATGAGGGAAAATTTGCAAGAGCTTCTCTTAGGACCCCTACTAAGAGAAATTTTTAACTTGACCCCAAGATGAACTTTGATTGAATATAACACATAGTAATGTTGAGTCAGATTTTAAAAAATAATTTTGTTTATGTGCCCTGAAATAATATACTTTAAAAAAAAATACCTTATCAGGTTAACTTCAAAAATAAACCACAGAAAATAAATAGAAACTCATAAGAAAACATGGAAATGTTGTGTATTTGTTACAGGGAGATTTACCTAAGAACTCTACATCTGCTTGAATAGCTAGCCAATTCTTGTTTCAGAAACCTGCTCAGGTATATTTGGGCTTGTTCAACACCCACACTGCCCACCTGTGGTTTTTACTACAATTATGCTGAGTGGGCCTTAGTTACAGTTTCTAGGAGATAGTGCATTATCTAGTGTGAACAATAGTTTGAACAAGGCCAGTACGCTCAAATCCTCAGCCACGATGACTTGCAACTTTGTGCTAGCTTTCTAACAATTTAATCTACTCAGTTTCAGTTACAAAACTTAGATCAAACCATAGTAAAGTTTTCAGGTACTTGTCAACAGGGCCACATGCTGGGATGGCCTCCCCAAGCCAATAACATTAAAAAATGTCCTTTAAAAAAATGGCATATTTACATACAAATATATATATATATATATATATATATATATATATACACTAATAATAAATTTGCATTTTGTTTCTCACCAGTAGCACAACACTGACCTTCATGAACAATGCAATTGTCAAGTGTGGATTGAATACTGACCATTGTAAAATTGAAATGTTGATCTTCATAACATAGTGATAGATAGTGGAGCAGTTCATTTATTTATATATAATTGCAAAAAATGGCTTTTATATATATATATATACTTACATACATACAAATACAAACATAAATATAATTAAAATACAAATATATACATCTAATATATATTTCCAAATATAATACACATATATGCACAAATAGCATTATAGATGCACACACATAAATATGTATATATAATTCCCAATATATCCAATGTATACATCTTAACTATTACTTATACACACATAGTATAATTACATCATATATATATATATATATATATATACACACACATATGAATCACATAATTACAAATATATACATATAAAAATACATCCATACTTTAAACGAAATAAGAATCTATACTGTTGGGCTATGTGAACTCAATAAGACATTCAGAAAATTCATGGAAGAAGAAAATAATAATCAGATCGCCTTTCTAGATGTGCTAATAACTTGTACAAAGAATGAGTTCAAAACATCTGTATATCACAAGCCAACCTTCATTGGCCAGCGCCACAAGTTCAATTCCTATCATCTATACAGCGTGAAGAAATGGCTCATTCATTCATTCGACAACACCAGGCAAAAATCATAAATGGCAACCCAGATACATACCAACAAGAAATGATTAGCATTAAACATACCCTTCAGAATAACAACTACCTGCGTCTAAAAGTGGGAGCATGACCAGAAAATTACTACAGTCTGTCTACCTTACTTCAAGGGCTATCGGAAAAGATTGAAATCTGCAGTCCATACAACATCAGATGAATACTCAGAAGCAGTTCCACACTACAGGGAAATCTCTACTGAGTATATATAGTGAATATGACCGAGAATTGTGAGTACTGAATCCTTTGCAGTTGTGGCAAAGTATATAAGGGTAAAATAAGCCACCCACTAAAAGTAAGGCTGAAGGAGTGTCAAAAAGCTGTAGTGAGAAGTGAGACAAGGAAATTGGGCGTGGCTGATCATGTATGGAAGGAAAGGTATAACATCAGCTCCTGTGGAATGAAATGAAAATACTGGATAAGGAAGAACACTAGACAGTTGGACGTCATAAAGAATCAATGCATATGCTAGGTTATGAGTTACCTTAGTAGGCTGAACATAGAAAAAAATACAATATGAGAGCCACTAATGAAGAAAGACAAATAACAGCATGAATTCAATTGCAGCAGCAGTCAAAACATGACAGCGAGCAGCAGTAGTGGCAACTTAATCAGCAGCGAGGTTAGCTTTAAAGCTTTAAGTTTACACATGCAAATTGTCATGGCCTTGTGGGTAAAAGTGTTGGTTTATGAATTTGGGTGTATAGTCGTTGTGACTTCAATCCCTGAAACTTGTACTTAATGTGAATGGGCTGAATAACTTAACAGTACTAAATAACATAAGAATTAGACATGAGAAACAACAAGAATGGAATGAGAGCAGTCTACTAATGTAGATTAAATAACAAGTTGGGTTGGAATACCCTGTAGATTAACCAGATTGATATACACCTGAGGGCACAACAGCCGAAACGTGATAAAAACACCAAAGATGAGGACAATGGTCTGAATATAAATAGTGTAAATAACAATATATACATATAGTCAAAATTACATATCATAAACTAAATAACGTAAACATACAGACTAGCAAAGAGGAATACACTTATACATACTGGTAAATATATATTCATACATCTAAATCTGATCATAAAATATTGTGTGTGTGTATATATATATATATATATATATATATATATATATATATATATATATATATGTAAATATCAGTGTGTCACACTTTTTCAAATTTACTCCTAGAGGCTTTAGCCCAACATACCATTTTGGAATCAGGCCAACT